TCTCTCTCCACACACACACACACACACACACACACACTTTTCTCTGTGCAGGGGCTCTACTCTCTCGGCTATAACCAACCCCACAGTCTGCCTGAATTCACATCCTCACAGCCTCTTGAACAGAAAAGACGGCTCTGGTCTCAGAGGGCCAGCTGCTGTCTGGGATGAGTCAGGGGAGGACATGGATGGACCCAGCTCTGTTCGTTCGTGTGCTCACCCCTTGGACCAAGAGCTGGGGCTGTGAGTGGGGCTTGGTGATTGGCTGGGCTTGGGTCCTCTGTGTCTGGAGAACAGGGCCTGGTCCCAGCAGGGGACGATGGGGGCTGGCGGGGGTGGAGGAAGAGACGCACAGAGGTTGCCAGGCTGGAGCTGGGTGGCCAGTCCATTTGTGTGTGAAACTCTGTCCTGGCCGGATTTATGACCCAAAGTCACGGTTGCCCTATTTTTGGAATAACAGGAAAAAGCAACTGCTTCAAACTCTCAAAATGGTAACTTTCCACAGGTGTGGCCTAATCAGACTTATACATACAGAGCCTGAATCTTTGAGAAACCATCTTCTCATTGTTGACACACTTCTGAGCCAGAATCCAGTTGCAGACACAGCAGATGGGTGGGCCAAACGTCTTTGATTTTCTCCCCTGCCTTCTGCTCCTAAAAACAAGGCTCATGAAAATAAGTTGAAGGGGCAGCAAATAAAATTCAAGCCCACAGGGCCCAGGGCTCTTTTCCTGACCTCGTGGCAGAAAATCCCATCTGGAGACGAAAAGGCTCCCCCCTCACCCCATCCAAAGTCTTCCAATGGGAAGGTCTGGAGCTCAAATGTGGCTTCTTGCCAAAAACATCTCCCAGACAACCACCCAGCAGTTCTTGGGGGTCTCCATGGGTTCAGCGAAAGGACACGACCAGCTGCACACGCTCACCCCGATTCCATCCCCACATGTCTGCAGGGCTGGTTTCCAGCCTCTCTGGCCGTGAAAGCAAACAGTAAAGCAGGCCAAGGGCTGGGCGTGATCTATGAGCTTGCTTCTAAAATTCCTTGGCTTCAACTTGATTTCAATCAGGATATTTAACATTGAACTAATATTGACATTTTAAATAACCACTTCTTCATTTGTCCAGAGCACACTGGAGAGCATTTTCTGGGGCTGTTCGGGAAAGAACTGAGGCTTAGGAGTCAGCCTGCCTGGGGGCAAATTCCAGCTCTGACCTCAGTTTTCTCATCTGTAAAGTGGGGGTCTGAACACCTGCCAAGTGTCTGACACACAGGATGTGCTTGGTAAACAGTGCGGCACTTTGCGACTGCTGGGGATGTCAGAAGAGGAAACAGGCCCAGAGAGGGTTGGCCACCTGTCCAAGGTTGCACATCCGGGTAGGGGCAGCCAGGGGTCCCAACCCTCAGTCCCTCCCTGGACCAGGCCAAGGAAGAGATGTCTCAGGGAGCTCACGAGAGGGGGTCAGGGGGATGGACGCCAAGCCAGAGCGATCAAGGACCTTGACAGAGCAGGGAGAAGCTGGTGGAGGCAGGAGGCCAGGCTGGGAGGGACGGGGCCAAGTCCCTGCAGCTTCCCTGCCCAGATGGTGCGGCTGGGGAGCGAGGCCCGCAGGCTGAGACCTGAACCCAAGGCCTCAAAGCAGCCTTGGGTTCTACCCCCACGCTCTCCAGGCGGGTACCCCAGGGGAGACTCGAGTCACAGAGCTGCCACCAAAGGGCAAACCCTTGGGTGAACTGATGCTGGCTCCCCCCCCACCCCACCCCCATCTTCTGACCCAACAGCAGCCCTGGAGGAGAATGGAGTTTTTAATCTGCATCCGCACGTCCCACCTCCCCAGCTGGGGAGCAGAACCAGTCACCAGTCTTTAAATGTTCCCACCTTCCACCTGGAACCAACCCACTTCTACTCCCGGCCTGATAGGCTGGAAGCCCGATCTTTCTCTTGGGGTTCCTGTCCCCCACAGAATTAGGAGGTCACCAGTGTTACCAGCCTCCTGCAGTCACCCTGTGCCAGAATATAAAAAATAGTGGCTCGAGTCCCCACTTGTGGCAGAGTCGTTACAAGCACAGGCTCCAGAGCCAGAGAGCCTGGGTTCAAATCCTGGCTTGGCCTCTTAATCAGCTGTGCATCTTTGAGAAGGCTGCTTCACCTCTCTGGGTCTCAATGTCCTCATCTGTAAAACGGGGATATTAATAGCATCTACTAGGTGGGTTCTTTCGTGAGGATGAAATGAGTTAATGTATGTAAAATGCTTGCGGCATTGCTTGGAGGAAGGTTAGCCCCAGGTGTCACCTGTCACCTCTCCAGCTGGAGGGGCTCCCAGCCTCTCCCTAACCTAGCCACCTGGTCACCCCCATGCCTTGCTGCACCAGCTCACACCAGTCACCGGCTGCCCAAACAGGGGCCAGCCACTCCTCTCAGCCGCAGGGAGCCTCCTCCATCCACCTTCTTGGGGTCACGGAGCAGCACACTCAAGATGCCCAGTCATCCGGAAGAATGTGGAAGCAGTTGGTTGCAGGAAACTTTCAAAAGAGCAACTTCCTCCTGCCGCCCTGGGACCTGCAGGATGCCCGAGTGTCCCCTGGGCCTGCTCTGTGGCCTCTCACGGCTACTGTCCTGCCTGCCTGCTTGGTGAACCACTGTGGCCCTAGATTCTAGGACTCTCCGTGAGGAGCCGCTGGCCGGGGCTGCCTGCCCTCCTCGCACCCGGTGGAGCTGGGAGCTGAACATGCTGTGCTGAAGGCTCAGGGCACAAGGACACAGGGCCTGAGGAGGCTCGAAGGCTGTGGGGCTGCAGGCCTCAGCCCTCCCCTGCAGTCTCCCTAGGGCAGAGTGATGAAACCCACCAGGACAGCGGATCCCCAGGCGGCAATCTCTGCCTCCAGCGCAGTGGGTGCTTCAGGGTCCTCCACTCTCCTCTCGGGGACCAACAGGCCCTTCCCAGGGCATTCCCACCCTGAGGTCAGCTCTCCTCCTCTGGAACCCAAAACTGCCAATCAGCCCCCAAAACCGAGTGCATCTCCTCACAAGGCGTCTGTTCAGTCTGTCGGGCAGAGGCTCCTTCGAGCAGCCAGGCCGGAGGCCTGGGAGCTTCAGACCCACGACATCATCTTGGCCCACCTACCCACTTGCTCAGTAAACCTGGGAAGCCCAGTCCCCTCTCCGGGCCTCAGTACCCCTATCTGTAAGGCGAGGATGTTGAGTTAGGTGATGCCGGAGGGCTCCTGAGCACTCACAGGCTAAGGCTCCTAACAGTCCTCTTTCATGTCATTTTTCCTGCTCAAAAGCCTGCAGTGGCTCCCCAGTGCCCTGGGCATCAACTCCACTTGTGGGCAAGGCCTCCACACTGGACACCAGTGCCCCTGCCCACTCCACCCCCCAAGAAGCCTCTGCCAGCCTCTGGCTCCTGTCCATGCCTGGGTCATCCCTGGAAATGAGACCGGCCTCCTGCTTTCTCCTCTGGCCCCTAACCCCCTCCCTCCTTCTTTTTCCGAGGACCACTCATACGTCTGGGAGTCACTCAAACCTAGATCTGAATTCCAGCTCTCCTGTTTATGAGCTGTGAGGCCTTCGGCAAGCTGCCTCACCTCTCTGAGTTTCAGCTTCCTCCCTTGAGGGGGTTAGATGAGATAATTAAGTCCTCAGCATGGTGCCCCCACGGAGTGGGGGCACCAGGCCTGTGACCTTGGACAGGCCTCTGACAGGAGACTCTTGTCAACCAACTTGGTTGATGAGAGAGTGAGAGAGCTCGTGGTACTGAGGCCCGGAGGTAGCAGCATGTGGGACATAAGGTTCAGTTCTTGTTGGTGTTTGCACACCCATTTCCTGACAGGTAAAGGTGAGTCAGCCACCCCACCTGGGGGCAGGGGAGAGTGGAGCTGAGGGAGAGGCGGAAGTGCCAGGTCACCTGGGTCACTGCCGGAGGGACAGCGAAGTGAGCACTGAGCGGGTGTGGCTGTGGGTAGATGGGACAGAGCTGGGCAGACGGGGTCACAGGAACAAAGGCTGGAGGGACAATGCTGGGCATCCAGGGAGCTGAGAGAAGCGCAGTGGGGCACTAAGGGTGAACAGGGCAGGGAGAGCGGGGAATGTTCTGGAGAGCGGGAGTTCATATCAAGGAGAGCCTGGCAGGCTCCTCAAGCTGTGGACTTCACCTGGAGGGCATCGAGGATCCACTGAGAGGTTTGCACTGCGAGTGCCAGGCATTCTGGAGTTGTGTGACTCCACGTTGCCCAGTGAGCCTGCAGGAGTGCGGGGCAGGCTGAGGGAGCCAGGCAGGAGGCAGCTGTGGCTTTTCAGAAGGGAGAGACAGGCTGGGACTGGGCAGGCGGTGGGGCACCCCCACCAGGGCCTGCCAGAGGCCCCCTGCAGCTGAGGGAGACCTCGACCCCCTCGGGTCCCCAAGCAGCGAACACTGTTCAGAGCTCCAGGCCTGCCTCGGGCCCCCCAGCCCAGGGCCCTGCTGGCTGCCTGCCACACCCCCTAAAGTTGTCTGATTGTCTGCGACCCTGGGTAATGTACAAGACCAGTCTTGTACCAGTCTTGTACAGTCTTGTACACCAGACTGTACATTGTACAGTCTTGTACAGTCACAACATCGATGTGCGTATGAAACACTCGAGTGTGTGTCACTCCCAAGTGTACACAATGTCTGAGTGTGAGGAGACCATCCTGAGGCCAACCTGACCGCATGCCTGACGGAATTCATCACACAGACGGCAGGGACCGTCTGTCAGTTACACACAAGGCCGCCCTTGTCTCAGATGGAGATGGCTCCCCCAGGTGCTATAATCGTGCATGCCTGGTGAGGTCAGAGGACGTCCCAAGATGGATCCTTGAGGTCTGGAGTCTCATCTTCCTCCTCTTTGCCTCCCGGCAGCTCCAGGGGCCAAATGCTGTTCCAGGGCCCAGATGCCCACCCAGTCCTCATCCTCCCCAAGGCAGCCTGGGAGGGAGCAGAGGGTCCCCTGTACCCACCAGGCCCCTTGGGGACCACAGCACAGCGTCCTTCTCACTGTGTTTATTGGTTTCCAAGGGCAGCCCTCTCCCGAGGAGGCCGAGCAGGCTTATATCTTGCGGCTTCCAAAAACAGGGCGGTTCACATGCTCGGGGGAGGCCAGGAAGGCCTTGAGCTTGGGCCGGGCGCTGAGGCGGGCCACGTAGGCTGAGAGCAGGGGGAAGGAGTCCAGGCAGCCAGGGGCGAGGACCTGGTGAACCAGCAGCAAGTCCAGCAGGTTGTAGTCCGCGAAGGAGATCTGCAGGGCAGGTGGTGGGAGGGGGCTGGAGCGGGCTGAGAAGGGGGGCTGCCGGGAGCCAGAACCTCGGGTGCTCCAATGAACCAGTCATGGCCCGGCTCTGGGCCTCAGTTTGCCCGTCTTGAGAAATGGACCCACAATGGGCTGGATCTAGCGCTCACCTGGTCACCCACGATGAAGGCCTGGCCTCCCTGGTTCTGAGCCAGCAGGGTCTCAAAAGGCTTCAGGTGCCCAGGCAGCTCCTGAACATACCGGGCCTTGCCCTCCTCCTACAAACGAGAGTAATCCCAGCTGGCGGCATGCAGTGTGCCTGGCCAGATGACCTCACTGTCCCCACACCCCCCCCAGCCCTGAGCACCAGCCGAGGCCCCTGCTCACATAGTCATGGCGGATGAGGTGGCTGCCGCGCTTCCGGAGGTCCTCCACACCATCGTTGACCATGTCCACCAGCGCCGCCTCCCGCTGGTCTCTGCCGTAGAGCCCTGGGTCAGTGGCCAGGCAGTGGGTCATGTTCTGGCTGGGCGGGCGCCCCCGCTGCTCTCTCTTCCAAACCAGACCCCTTGCTTTGGAGGCCCTGCTTTGCCCAACTCTGCTGCCCCCAACTCCACGAGCCCAAGGGGACACACCCAGCTGAAGCCCACGCCTGTCTTCTAGGCCACACCCCGGGTCCCTAGGACTTGGAAATTCCCTACCCAAATGGCCCAAGCCCCCTCCCCAGGTCTGTCCCCCGCGAGGGTGGACCAAGCCTCTGGTGCACGCCTCCCTAGGCCGGGAGGTGGCTGTTGTAGGGCCTGGACAGAACTTGGCTGTGTGGGCGGGCGTGTCCACTGGCAGTGCAGCACAGCATATGGGCGGGACGAGGGGGTGGCAGGCTGCAGCCAGAGGCCTCTGTCCTCACCCTGGGTCCCGCAGAAGTGAGGGTGGGCCTGGGCATGGCTGCTCCCGCTGCTCCTCTGCCCCCTTCCCTAGTTGCCATGTCCTTCTGGGACCCTGAGCTTTTCTGGACCTCCCCAAACTGGCAAAAGAAGAGGCAGCCACCTCCCTAAGCCATGTTCCTGCCACCCTTGAAACAGGGCCACAGGCCTGCTCACCGTGACCAGGGGTTTTCCAGATTCAGGTGAGGCTAGAGCAGGAAGAAATGGGCAGGAGGTCTACCTGGAATGCCCTGGCCACACCCATAGTGACCTCTAGCCTACACCAGCACACACGTGGGGACTGGCAGCCTCCTCGGAGCTGTCGTCCAGGAAATGGGCACAGTGAACCCATCTGGTGCCGCCTGGCTGGGGGCTACCCCGAGCTGCATGGCCCCTGCCCAGGTGGACTGGCAACCCCAGCCCCATAACCCAGAGCCCTCCTAATCCAGGCCCTGCCCCTTCCTTTAGGGCCATCTGGCCTGCCCTCTAGCCGGGCAGGAGTCTAGTGGCTGCAGGTCCAACAGCTCAGGCCCCAGGACATCCTGCCATGATCCGTCAGGCACTTTTCTGGACGGGGCCGCCTGCAACCTCAGGACTCACCGAGGGAGCGGCCCAGGTGTCGCAGGATGGCGTTGGACTGGTACAGAGTGAGGTCTCCATCCTGGAACTTGGGGAGCTGCCCGTACAGCTGGGAGGTGGCACGGCTCAGTGAGGGACGCTGAGCTCAGCTGTCCCCCACCCTAGTTTTGCTCCCAAAGGCCCAGCACCCGCCCCCTGCCTGGGCACAGTCACTCACACAGGAGGCCTTGAGTGGGCCCTGCAGCCAGGTCTCTTTGGTCACCACCTCCTCCTTCCAGCTCTGGCCCTGGTCAGCCAGCAGCATGCGCATGGCCTCGCAGCGCCCTGAGGCGCGGAGACAGGGGTGTGGGGATGGGCAGAGATCCCAGCCTCACAGCACCCTGGGGAAGGGTCAGGAGTACGGGGAAGGTACATAGGAATAGGATAGAATCGCCAGCTTGGTAGCATTCTGGGGAGAGGATGGATCTCAGAGAAAGAACGGAGACCATGGCCGCGACACTGTTTTGGATATGGGGACGGGGCGGAGACCCTCACCCGACAGCGCCCCAGTAAGGGAACAAGGACAGACGGACAGGAAACAGCGCCTGCGGCTCACGAGGTTGCAGCCAGCGGGAAAACCAGTCTCGCGCTCCCCGCCTCGCCCCTCCATCCCTGGTCCCGCCCCGCGACCCCGGCTCCGCCCCCGCAATCATTGACCCCGCCCCCGTGACCCCGACCCCGACCCCGCCCCCCGATCCCGGCTCCCGCCCTGGCCCGCGCCTAGCGAGCCGCCTGAGCGTCCGGGCTGCGCCGGGTCTGTGCCCTTCGCCTTCCTGAAGGAGGAGGAGCCGCACCTCGGACGGGGAAGTAGACGATGGTGTAGGGCGGCACTAGGAGAGACAGAGAGGACGATGAAGGAGGACCCCCCCGCGGGGCTGCAGGGCCCAGGGGCAGGCAGCCTGGGGGTCAGACCCCCGGGAGAGGAGGTGGCTCAGCCTGGGCGCCCCCACACCCGTCCAGACCCTACTCACTGGTGGCGGTGGAGTGGAAGTGGGCGGAAGCCCAGAGGCCTTATATTTACGAGTCTGCTCCACGCCCTCTTCCCTCCCTGCCCCACCCCAGGAATATGCCAAGTCACGGAGCTGAGCTGGGCCCCGGGCAAGGCTGGGTGTGGTGGGCAGGGCCGGCGGGCACACCTGCTCACTGCATGGGTGTACCCTGCCTGCAGGGCTGTGGCTTCACAGGAGGCACCCACACGTAGCATCACTCAGTCACTGCCCTCCTCCCGGCACACCCAAACAGCCTAACTCCTCATGGCCCACGGAGGGCCAGGACTGAGTATCTTACTCACTGCTGGGTCCCCAGCACCAGCACTCAGTAGGTGCTTATAAATGTTCGTCGCCTGAATGAATGCAATTTCAAGAGGCATATCCATTTACACATTCTCTCTCCATGATGATAATAGCAGCAAACCCTTAGGGTCTGAGGACTGTGTTGAGAGCTTTACATATATTACAACCCTAAAACTTGGTACTGTTCTGATCCTCATCTTACAGAGGAGGAAACTGAAGCACAGAGAGAGGGTAAGTGGCGTTCCCAAGGTCACACAGCTGGTAAACAGGATTTAAAGCCAGGTCTGGCTGGCTTCAGGGGCTTCACTTTTAACTCTCATTCTTTCTTCTGCAAGATCTTGTAGTGTCCAAACCATTTTTGACTGAGTCTGAGTGCTCTGTACTCTTCAAATACAGGCTGGGCCTGGGGAGATGGGTGGAGGGAAAGATACACAGACTGAAATGGGCAGGACCTTCTGGACCTGGGAGGGCTGCATCCTTCCAGGGAGAGGCCAGCGCCTGCCTCCCTGCAGGCTCATCTGGCACCCTCAGCCGAGTTCTCCTCCCGGGTGCCCCCTCTCCTGGGGGGCTCTCGGTGGTTGTGGCGGTCTTCCTCGGGAGCTGGGACCTGGTTGAGCCAGGCGCCTCAGCATGGGCCTGTCGGAACCACAAGCAGAGAGGAGGGTATCCTTCCCATCCAACCACCCATCTGTCCACTCAACCTTCTGTCTAACCATTTGTTGTCAACTACTGATCCACCTGGACATCCTGGGCACCAGAGCTGGGACTCAAGCTTGGCTAAGTCAGGCTGGGCAAGTCAAGGGCACAAAGATGAATGCCCTAGGATGCTGTTCATTGAACACAAGCCAGGAAGGATTTCCAAGCCAGGCTTTCTCCACTTAGACACAAAGCTTCTGCTCCTTGATTGAAAATTCTTCCACCCACTATACCCTGACCAGTTATAGCCTCAACTACTTTGGCTTGTACTTTGGGACACACATTTCTCACCACTCCCCACTCTCTTAGATGGTTATTTGGACATGGAATCATTCATCACATGTGGCATCCCCCATTTTTTGAGCCCTTCCTATGTGCCAGGAACCTGCTCGGTCCTTTATCATTTAATTTTCACAAAGGCACCATGAGGCAGATAATAGATCAATCCCCATTTCCCAGAGAGGTGAAATACTTTGCCCAGGGTCACACAGCAAGTGTGTGGGGGAACACAGGCCTGCAGGCCCTTTCTATGACCTTGCAGAAAATGGGAGAATTCCCATCTTTGAGGGGTTGGCGTTTGAATTGCTGGTGGCTGGAAGGATGGATGATTGAGTAGATGGATGGATAGATGAACAGATGGATGAAAGGATGGATGGATGGACAGGTAATTGGATGGACGGATAGGTGGATGCATAGTTGAGTGAGTAGATAGGAAGTTAGATGAGTGGATGGATGGATGGATGGATCATGGCTGACTGGATGGAAGGATGGGCAGATGATTTGATGGGCTAGTGGTTAAATGGTTGGTAGATGGATGGATGGATGATTGCATAGACAGATGGTTGGTCGGATGGTTGGAGGAATGGATGGATGAATGAAAAGATAGATGGATAGACAAATGGAAGATGTTTGGGTGGGTAAATGGGTAGTTGGATGGACAGGTTGGATAAACGGATAGGTGGATGTTTTGATGGACTGCTGGTCAAGTGTTTGGTTGTTGGATGGATGAATGATTGGGTAGATGGGTGTATAGATGGATAGACAGAGAGATGGTTGGAGCCACAGATAGATGGCTGGGTGGATAGACTGCTGGAGAAGATCTTATATTCTTCCTTAAAATTGTCCGTTAGACTGGAGACCATATCTTAACCAATTTCGTTATCTCCCATGATGTCTAGCCCACTCATTGCCTGACACATACTAATCAATGTGTGAATGAAGACTTGTGTCCATCTATCTACCCCCACTCTGAGGTGTGATTCCTCTGATGGCAAAGACGATGGCTCCTTTTCCACCCTGTTCCCCACAAGCCAGATCCAGGCTTGGCACCTGGTAAGCACCACACACAGAACCACGTTGAGATACCCCTTCACACTCACTAGGAGAGCCAAAGTAAAAAGGAAGACAATAACAATTGTCGGTGAGGATGTGGAGAAGTCGGAACCTTTATATGCTGCTGTTGGGTTTATAAAATGATGCAGCCATTTTGGAAAAGAGTTTGGCAGTTCCTCAAAATGAGTTACCATATGACCCAGCAATTCCACTCTTAGGTATATACCAAAGCAAATTGAAACCGTAAGTTCACACAAAAATTTGTATGCAAATGTATATAGCAGCATTATTCATAGTAGCCAAAAAGTGAAACAACCCAAATGTCCACCAATGCATGAAGAGGTAAACAAAATGTGTATATCTGCACAACAGAATACTATTTGTCCATAAACAGGAATGACGTACTGACACAGGCTACAACAACAGATGAACCTTTCATAAGTGGAAGCAGCCAGACACAAAAGACCACATAGTGTATGATTCCATTTATCTGAAATGTTCAGAATAAGCAAATTCATAGCGACAAAACAGATTAGTGGTTGTCAGGGGATGGGGGGAGGGGGAATGAGGAGTGACTGCTGATGGGTACAGGTTCCTTTTTGGGGTGATGAAAATGTTCTGCAATTACATAGTGGTGAGGATTGCACAACACTGAATACACTAAGAACCACAGAATGTACACTTTAAAAAGGGTGACTTTTATGTAGCCATAAAGCTACATAAAATATAAATATATATTTAATAACCTGCTGAGGACAGGTGCTGACGTCCACAAGGACCAGAGGTGGGGGATGGACACAAGGGGGTGCCGGCCCATTGGGCCGGGAAAGCTGTGCTTCTGGGCCCCAGAGGAGGAGCCCCAGGGCGGCCACAGAGCTCGACCACAGGCTGCGCCTGTGGAGCCAGAGGACTGTGGGTAAAAGCAGCCACCCGGAACACCACAGCACAGGGCCAAGCCAGCCTAGGGGACAGCCCACCCAGGGGACGTGAGCGTGATGGCTGGAGGGTGTAAGCTGGCAGGAGGCTGGCCCACTGGAAGGCAGGGGGTCTCCACTCTCCCAGGTCTGTGATGCTTGTGCCAAAGGAAGGGCGTGTGTGCCCCTGGCCAGAGCAGGTAGGTGAATGAAACTCACTGAGCCTCGGTGTCCTTGTCTGTATAATGGGAACAAGACTCCCTCCCTCCCAGGGTGTTACGGAGATGAAATGAGACCATTTATATGAAAGCTCTTTGTAAGCTGCTAAGTGCTGAGCAGATGTTCCTCCAGCTGTGAGTCAGGGATGAGAACCCAGGTCTGGTGCCACCTCCCCCATCCTCTGCCAGCCCCAGGCAGCTGTGAGCTCAAATGGGGCTAAGAGATGCTCCTGATCAGGCGCTGTCTGGGTTTGTTCCCATGCTTTGGGTGGGCAGTCCTGCACCTGGGAAGGATATCTTCCTCTCTTCTTGTGGTTCCGACAGGCCCATGCTGAGGCGCCTGGCTCAACCAGGTCCCAGCTCCCGAGGAAGACCGCCACAACCACCGAGAGCCCCCCAGGAGAGGGGGCACCTGGGAGGAGAACTCGGCTGAGGGTGCCAGATGAGCCTGCAGGGAGGCAGGCGCTGGCCTCTCCCTGGAAGGATGCAGCCCTCCCAGGTCCAGAAGGTCCTGCCCATTTCGGTCTGTGTACCTTTCCCTCCACCCATCTCCCCAGGCCCAGCCTGTATTTAAAGAGTACAGAGCACTCAGACTCAGTCAAAAATGGTTTGGACTCTACAAGATCTTGCAGAAGAAAGAATGAGAGTTAAAAGTGAGGCCCCTGAAGCCAGCCAGACCTGGCTTTAAACCCTGTTTACCAGCTGTGTGACCTTGGGAACGCCACTTACCCTCTCTCTGTGCTTCAGTTTCCTCCTCTGTAAGATGAGGATCAGAACAGTACCAAGTCTTAGGGTTGAGGGACATTTGCAGTGCTGCCTGGGATGCAGTGCACTCCTGGCCTCCAGGAGAAGATGTGACCCGGGATGCCAGGGGCTGAAGGATGCTGAAGGCGGAGCGTTCAAATAGTCAACATGAATGGTCACAACGAACCCTTCTTAACCTTGACCATCAGGCCAGCATCCACTCGCCTCTCAACCCTCGCCTTTCCTCAGATCTTCAGACCCTCCCAGGGTTGTGTGGAGGCTGTTCCCTCTGCTGCGTGGCTGCCCTCTCCCTTCACTCAGTCACCCCCTTCATCTCTCTGGTCTTGGTTCACATGTCACTTCCCCAGCCCCCCAGTCACAGCAAGGTCCCCATTCTCCTCCCTCTGGACAGCCTGTTGGGCTCTTCCCTGCACTCACCCTTCCATTGTCATTTGAAGTTTGCTGAATGTGCTCCTCCTACCAGGTGGAAGGTTCCAGGACGCAGGGACCGGTTCCCAGCACTCAGGAAGACACGTAGAAAGTGCTCCACAAACATTTGCTGAAGATTCAGCCCCTCTGAAATTTTCTCCAAACTTTTGCCACTCATACCCTCTCCAGGGGCTACCTACTCACCTCTGCCTCCCTCCTGAGGGCATCCACCCAACATACCCTGTCGGATTCCAGCACCTGGGACACTCCAAGTTCATGGCTGATGTCTGGGACGCCAGTGCTCGCCAAGGGCCAAGCACGGGTTAGACATTGGTGGCAATGCCTAGAATGTTGCTCCATCCCCTCACCTCCTCCATGAAGCCATCCTGATGCCTGGGATGGTGTCCTCAAGCACTTGGACACTGTCTGGTGGCCGTTTTCTGAGTCAAATGTGCCTGAGAGCAGGGCCCTCAGAGCAGACGGGGTCTGTGTGTGACCCCCAGCAGCCAGCCCAGGGCTGGGTCCCAGTTGGCCTAAGTGTTTGCAAAAGGAATATATGAATGGACGGCTGCCTGTGGCCAAGAGAGGCCAGAGCCACCATCTCAGGTGGCAGGTGTCCGGTGGGATCCGGTTCCCTCGGATAGAGGCTGGTGGGGGGCGGGGGGAGGGCAGGTGAATAAATCATGAGGGGCCTGGAGCAGGGCCGGGGCAGGACAACTGACCTCATTCTGGGAGGTGAGGAGCAGGTGGCCGGGCGGTAAGTGGGCCAGGGGCATAACAAGGGGGCACGAGAGGCGGGTGGGGGCTGCCTGGCCCACCTCCACCCTTTTCCCTGAGAAGCAGGAGGTTGGGGGTCAGCAGAAGCTGGGTGGGAGGTACTGGCAGGAGGTGGGGACGTGGGGAAGCACAGAGCCAGATAGGCCAGGTGACCAGGGCTCTGCAAGGATGGTCTGGTGGAGCCCCGGCGGGTTGGGGGCAAGGTCAGGATTTCGGGGAGGGGCTGTGTGAGGGGCATGGGGAGCCAGGAAAGATGTGGGCTTGGGGGGCCTTGGGCCTGCCGGTCCACGAAGCAAGGAACAGGGAGAACAGCAGGGACCCTGTGGGACCACACCCACAGTGGCCCACTAAGTCACACTCGTGCAGGAATGGGGAGACCCGAGTGACCGGAGTGGGGCAGTGTCCCCCAGCCCGCAGGCGGTGCCAAGCCCTCGTCTCCATGGCCCTTCCCCAGGGCCCGGCAGATGGCAGCCTCCCCGTGGGAGACCCCAGCCCCTCTGAGGGTGCTTCAGGGCCCAGTCGGGCCTGTGCCAGCCCAGCAGCCACCAGGCGGCGGGCACTCCTCCGGGAGCTCGAGGCCCAGGTGCAGGCTGCCTACGGGCAGGTAAAGGGGGCAGGGGCATGGAGCCATCCTCAACTGAGGGAACAGCAAGGGCCCCAGACCCCGTCGGGGCCCTGTAGGACAGACCCAGGGCCGAGCCCAGGGAAGGGACCCTGGACATGCATGTTGATGGAGGGTCAGTCAGTCGGTCGGTCAGTCAGCTGGTGTCCCCCCCTTCCTCGGCCCTCACTGAGCCCTGCTGCCAGCCCACAGCACCCAGCGTCAGACCCCTTTAGCTCCTCACCCGAGTACAAGAGTCGGGGGGCTGGTGCAAGCAGGACTGCCGAGGGCAGGCGGGCTGGGCAGGCACTCTGAGGTGAGGGCCAGGGTCCTGGCAGGAAGGGGCAGGGTCTTCCTGGGCTGGGCCGAGGTTGCCTCCTCTCTCAGGCCAGGCAGCGGGGGAGGGTCTGCTGAGCTCATACCACCTGGTATGGTCTGCCATTTTGAGGGGAGAGATGCCCCAGCCGCCCTGGCACACCAGGCACCTGGTTCCCTCCTCCAAGGTCCAGGCCCTGCTTCTGAAGACATTAAATCTCTCCTGATTGGGAGAGATTAGGGGTAGGGGTGGGGGGAGAAGGGTGCTGGAGAGGAGGTGTCTGGAAGACCCTCAAGAGTGAGCATGGGGAGGCGGTGCCTTCCAGGGGGCCTTGGGCCTCGAGTGGCCCCCCTCACCAGCAGAGATGCTCAGAGATAATCCCGGATTAGGACCCGAGCCCCTGTGCCCAGGGCTCCCCGTCTGCCCACCCGTCCCCAATCTTCTCCACAAAACCCTAGGAAAATCCCCTGCATTGCTCCCAGACTCTCACTGGGAGCGGCTGGGGGCTGGCGGGAGCCCACAGCATCCGCTGAGGCCCAGCCCTGGGCCGTCCCCGGGACTCCAGGCCTAGCATGGTTCAGGAGCCCATGGGAAACTGTGCCAAGCGGCCCCGACACTGGGGGCCTAAGGTAGGAGTGCTAAGGGGGAGAAGCCGAGGCCAGGAGGCTGGGCTGGACCCTGGGAGGGTCAGGTGGGGCGGGCAGAGCCCTGGGTGAGGGCTGGGCTGGGGTGGGAGGTGGGGCACAGCCGGGGGATAGAGGGGGTGGTTCCCACTGCCCTAGGCCAAGATTTTCCCTGGAAGCCCCCGACTTTGGCCCATCCTGGCTTTGGCTCCTGTGGGCCACTGGGCCTCCCCTGCCAAGCTCCTCAGGCCCCCAGCTGCCCATCCAGCTGCCCCGTCTCTGCTGCTGTCCCTGCTCCCTGCTGGTCAGTCTTGACCTGGGAGACACAGGGCTTGAGCTCAGAGTCCCTCTCTGTCACTGGCTCTCTGAGTGAGCTTGGCCAAATCCCTTGTCTTTTCTGGGCCTCGGTTTGGCCAACTAAATAGTAAGAGGGCGGACTCTTCCAGCCTAGGGTGTTGAGGGGTGAGGGCCCCCACTGTCCTATGCTGGGTGCCAAAGACAGGAGAGGCTGAGGAGTGAGGGCGGAGAGGGGCCGCTGCCTCAGCTCACGGCCGGCTCTGCCACAGGACCGCTGGCAGTGGCCCGGCTCCCCCCCAGGGGGCTCCCACCACAGCCCCGGCCCCGGCCCCAGCCCTGAGGAGCAGGGGGGCCCCGGGCCGGGGGTCCAGGGCTATTCGGTGCTCAACAGCCTGGTGGGCCCTGCCTGCATCTTCCTGCGGCCCAGCATCGCCGTCACCCAGCTCGTATGTACGGCCGCCCACCTACCCGCCTGCCCACTGCCCCCTCGCTCTGCCTCTCCTTGAGTAATGGGGAGAGGTTTGACAGGGACATCAGAGCAAAGGCCCAGTGATCCAGGGAGGTAGGGGGCAGAGAGGAGTAGAGAAACAGAGACAAGATCAGACACGGGGGAGACCCAGGAGACACGCCAGGAAAGAGAGAAGAGGTGGCAGAGAGAGACAGAGAAACGTCAGAGACGGCCACCAAGGGGATGGGCAGGGAGGTGGCAGGGCCCCCAGGAGAGGGCCAGAGAGAGAACAAGAGAGACATACAGTGACGTTGAGGCCTCCAGGGCCAAGCCTGAGGCTTTGCCCAACCCCAGACTCACCTCTGGGAAATGGAGCTCCGTGCCCGAGAAGAGGGGGTGTGGGGGCAAGGAAGGCCCTGGGAGAGGCCTGGGCAGGGGGCAGGAAAGGGGGACCAAAGACACCCAGACCAGTCAGCAGGAACGGGGCGGGGAGGAACCAGGTCTGAGCAGTGTCGGACAGACACGGGCCCTCTGGGTGCATGTTGTGGGGGGCTGAGTGGGGAGCCCCAAAGAACAAGAAGGAAGGGAGCAGGTCCCTGGGTGGCCCAAGGAATTCTTAACCCCTCTGTGCCCCCTCAGGACCGGGAGCTGCGGCCAGAGGAGATTGAAGGTAAACGGTTTGGGAAAGAACTAGAGTTTCCAGAAGGGTGGGCATCGGGTGGGGCACACAGGGTGGGGGGCATTGGGCAGGGGCCTCAGCAGTGTCCAGGAGGAACTAGCAGCAAGAAGAGGCTGCAGGGGACCCATCCGAGGAGATGGGAACAAGACTGAGCAGGGAGGGGGTGACAGAACCCCCAGCTGCCAGTTCCCTAGTCTCCTTTGCCGGGTGCGTCAGCCCCAAGCCACTTTTATATTTGCTCATTCAGCGAACACTTCCTGGGTGACCACTGTGTGCCCGGCCCTGTGCCGAGCACCAGGAAATGTGGCAAACTGGACAGAGATGGCCCATGTCCTCTGGAGACAGATGTCAATAAATCAACTACAAGTACAAATGGCGCTAAGTGCTCTCAAGGGCAGGAGGGGACCAAATTTAGAGGGAAGACTTCCTTGAGTAGGTGACACAAGGACCAAAGAGGTGGGGAGAGTTCCAGAATGTGAGCTCCATGAGGTCAGGAATTTGTTTCTCTCTCTTCCTTCCTCCCTTCCTCCCTTCCTTCTCGCCTTCTCTCCCTTCCTTCCTCCCTTCCTTCTTTTCTCTCTCTTTCTTTCTTTCACTGCCATATCCTCAGTACCTAGAGCAAAGCTTGGCACATAGTGGATGATCCTCAAATATTTGCTGAAAGAATTGAATTAGAGGAATAGCATGCGCAAAGGCCCTGAGGCAGCAAAGAGAAACTGATGTTTAGAAGGAGGGAACGATTCGGCCAAGGGGAGGAGGGTGAGCTGGTCCAGAGTGGGGTCCAGGGGGACGTAGGGGAGGGACTGACCCTGCCCTGCCCGGCAGAGCTGCAGGCCGCCTTCCAGGAGTTTGACCGAGACCAGGATGGCTATATCGGCTACCGGGAGCTGGGTGCCTGCATGCGGACACTGGGCTACATGCCCACCGAGATGGAGCTCATCGAGATTTCACAGCAAATCAGTATGTGCCTCAGACCCACCCCACCTCCGGTTCTCCAGAGGCCAGGCAGCTGGGCAGCCTGGGGAACAGAGGTGCCACACAGGTTGGCCCCAGAACCCGGGACCTTGGTCATTCTCAAGGCGAGGTCTCTGCTCCAGAGAATCTCACCATCCCCTGTGAGGTGGGTGGGACAAGAACCTTCATCCCCATTTTTTAGATGAGGAAACGGAATTTCTGAAAGGTTATGTGACTTGCCTAATGTCACACAGCCAGGTCATTGGAGCTAGGGCTTGACAGCATGGAACTCTTCAGGACAGTTAGGAGAAGCCATCGGGAAACAGAGGTGGCCCAGCCCACGGGGCCCAGGGGGAGGGAAGGGCTCAGGGAGCGGGCAGGGGAGAGGGCCACAGGCCAGGAGGGGAGGGCAGAGGGCAGAGGAGGGCCAGGGCTGGGCAGGGGCCTCTGATGACCTGGGTCTCTGATGCGCGTGGCCCCCAGGTGGTGGGAAGGTGGACTTTGAAGACTTTGTGGAGCTGATGGGCCCCAAGCTGCTGGCAGAGACGGCAGACATGATCGGCGTCCGGGAGCTGCGAGATGCCTTCCGGGAGGTGCGCCCCGGGGCCCGAGGGCGGCGGGGCCTGCGTGTCTGCTGTGAGTGAGGGGCTGTGCGAATGAACGGTTTGGTTGGTGACCCAGTACCGTGACCAACGCCACCACAGTTCGACACCAACGGGGACGGCTGCATCAGCTTGGCTGAGCTCCGGGCGGCCCTCAAGGCCCTGCTAGGGGAGCGCCTCAGCCAGCGGGAGGTGGACGAGATCCTCCAAGACATTGACCTCAATGGCGACGGCCTGGTCGACTTTGAAGGTACCGCCCGCTGCCCACCACGCTTAGTGCCACACGCCCTGGAAGCTTTTCAACAGATAAAGAAATGACAAAGGGAGCATTATCGCAGCGTGCCAGGCCCTGTCCTGAGCACATCTAACTTAATGTGCTAACGAGTTAATCATCACGAGAACCCAGGAGGAAGGAACTATTATTATCCCCATAAGCAGAAGACAGTCAGTTCTTAGGAAAGCGTGAGTGCTTAGCAAAAGAAGTGGGCAGAGCCAAGACTTGAATCCAGGTAGCTGGACCAGAATCCAGCTCTCCCTCTACGCTGCATTTCCACAGAGGGAAAACAAGGATTAAATAATAGGAAGTCAAGGAAAAATCAGTATGTAGAAATTCTCCAAAGTAGGCCTCAAAGTTGTTCCTGAGCATCCTAGCAGCCAAAGCAAAGAGGAAAATAGGTTCAGTTACAAGATTTTTTTGTCCATAAGACAAAGCCCCTCTTCCTAGCCCAGAGGCCTATTCCCTACCAGATCCAGGGGATTCCCTTGCAGGCTGTGCCCTTGATCGCACTTCCTCCCACCTCAAGGCCAGTATACTCGCCTCACTCTTAGTGGGGTCCAGAGAGCAGACCCAAAACTTTGGCTTTGTCCTGGCAGAGTTTGTGCGAATGATGTCTCGCTGAGCCTGCACAGAAGCTGGAGGCAGCAGACAGGACTTAGGATCACAGCCACTGCCTGCCAGTGTGTCCCTGGAAGCCCATTGCCTCTGGCTGGGACCCTCCTCTCCTCCTCCCCACCCCCTGCCTGTGTGCAATGCCCTTGCCTGCCCTCACCCCACCCCCACTCCTCCACCAAGCCCCCTAGCCCATCTCTGTTCCTCTGACAATAAAGTACCTTCGGGCCTGGGGTGATGGCTTCCACCTCTCACTTCTTCACCCTGGAGGACCTAATGTTTGGCCTCTAAAAGTTAAGTCCTGGGCCACAAGCCCCCTCAACTGTGAACTCCAGGTGACAGGGGCCCTCTCTGGATCCTGGCCCAGCCCTGAGCTGGTGTCAGGAAACATCCCTGGACAAGTAAACCCACCTTGCTTCTCCCAGAGCTGGGTGTGCATTGGCCCCTCATCCTGCGAATGGCTCCTGCCAGACCCAGGATTACATCAGACGGTGGCGCAGTGCGTGAGGGCTTTTCCCAAGCTCCATCTCATTCACTCTCTGAGGGGAGCTGCTTAGAGCTCCCTTCAAGAAAGAACTTGCGGTCAGCGAGGAGGAATGAGTTAGCTGACAAGCTCTGGCTGTTGGCCCCTTCAAGACACGCCTCAGCTTTCGGGCTGTCACCTCACTCTTCCCAGGAGCCCCCAGCCACTGACCGAGCATGGTGGGGGCGAGGCTCCTCTCGTAGGTGGGCTCTGCTCTGAGCTCCCCTCTAGGGTAGCCGTGGCGTGCTCAGGTCGGCCACAGATCAGAGGCTCTCCCTCCCATTCTGCTTCCTTGCCCTTTCTCTGTCTTGCATTCCTAACTTCAGCTCAGTGCCTGCTTCCTGGGGGACCCAAATGACAGGTCTCCTCACTCCAACCCTGCTGTGGTCTTCATAGCCCCATTTTCCAGATTGAGAAAAGCGAGGTCACACAGATTTGCTAGAGGTCACGCGACCCCCCTGCCACCTCTCCCCTCCAGTCCATGCAGCATGCACTGCCAGATTATTCTTCCTGAAATGCCACTTGTATTTTGTCACACTCCTGTTTAAGAACTGGCCATGATCCCCCATCGCCCCCAGGTTAATCCTGGCACCAGGAGGCTCCAGGAGGGTGAGAGACTGGCATAAAGTCACACACCATTAGGATGAAGAGGAGGTGGGACTTGCAGCCAGACGCAGGGCCTCTAAAATCACAGTGCCTGCAAGAGAAGGTGCCTCAGGGTCAGAGTGGACCCAGGACGGGCCGCAGCCTCTTCTAGCTACAGCAAAGGCCTGGTCCCCAGAGCACCGTCTGATCGGCCGCTGCTCCTGCCTGCTGGGAGGGGGGACGAGCCCTGACCTCCTGGCCAAGAAGGGGTGGGAGCTTTTAGCGCCCGTGCCCCGTCCTCACTCATCACTGCTGCCAACAAGATGGCCTAGGGACAGGGCAGGTGGGCAGCCTCCGGGCCCTGCCCAGCCCAGAGACTGAACACCGAGGTGCCAGGGCTGGCTGCAGCCGCCTCAGCATCACTCGCCTGGCAGATCCCAATTAATCCTTAATCCTCAATTAGGTGAGCTCTCCTGCCAGTCGGGCTGGGATGAGGAGGGGTTGCTCCAGCCCTGCAGCTTCTCTGGGAGCCACGGCCCAGTCTCCCTCCCACCGCCCTCCATCGGCTGGCACAGATGGCATTGCTGCCTGAGAAGATGTCTGTCCCCTCTGCAGGGGTTGGGGGCTAGTGATGGATGTGTGCTAGGGGAAGACCAGAACCCCACTCAGGGTCAGCCTCCTACACCCCCTGGCCCCAGCCTGGAAGGCTCTGTGGTTGGGGTGGAGGGGAGGGCGGTTAGTGGGATGGTCATAATTGGCTGCAGTGTGTCCACTGGCACCAGAAGTGCCCACAGCTCCCCCAAACCTCACGAATGCCCTCCTACCCCAAAAGGCTTCTAGCCCAGAAGGTCCCGACACACGACAGCTGGAGCGGGGACCAGGGCCGGGAAGGAACAGTGGGCAGGCAGAGATTGCACTGAGCCAAGAGCCCCTTTCCCACCTAAAGGGGGCACCTGCCGCCCACCTCCATTGACTGTTGCCATTTGGAGCAGGCTGGAGCTACAAGATCTTCTGATTTTCCAAGAGAAGCTGTAAATTCAGATTTTTACATTAAGTCCACTTGAAATAGTTTGAGTATAATATACATTCAGTAAGGTGTATAAATCTTAAGTGCACAGCTCAATGAATTTTTACAAGTACACGCACCCAGGTAACTGTCACCCAGATCAACATATTACATCCACTTATCTTATTTTAGAACAGTTCTAGGTTTACAGAATCATTTCAAAGATAGTACAGGGAGTTCCTGTATACTCCACACCCAGCTTCTCCTGTGTGTTAGTCAAGGCTCTCCAGAGAAACAGAACCAATGAATGTGTGTGTGTCTGTGTGTACATGTGTATGTGTAAAGATATTTATTGTAAGGAATTGGCTCAGGTGATTCTGGGTGCTGAGCAGTCCCACGATCTGCAGTCAGCAACCTACAGACCCAGGAGAGCTGGTGATATAGTTCCAGTCTGAGCCCAAAGACCTGAGAACCAGGAAAGTTGGTGGCATAGGTTCCAGTCTGAGGGCAGGAGAAGACTGATGTCGCAGCTCAACAGTCAGCCAGGTGAAGTTCCCTCTTACACAGCCTTTTTATCCCCTTCAGGTCTTCAACTGATTGGATGAGGCCCACCCACACTGGGAAGGGCAATCTGCTTTACTTAGTCCACCAGTTCAGTGGATGTTAATCTCATCCAGAAACACCCTCACGGACACACCTGGAATAATGTTTGACCACATGTCTGGGCACTCTGTGACCCAGCCAAGTTGACATAAAATTAACCATCACATGAGGGAGAAGTGAGAGTGGCTTCAATGAGACCAGTTGTTGCTGCTATGCTCCCAGTGTCTAAAACACACTGGATGGTCGTGCTGGTTCACATCTTACATTAGAATTGTACATTTGTCACAGTTAACGGACTAACACTGACACACTATTATTAACTAAAGTCCACATTTTATGCAGATTCCATCAGTTTTCCCCTGCTTATCCTTCTTCTGTTCCAGAATGCCCCCCAGGACGCCACATCACATTAGGCATCGTGTGTCCTTAGGCTCCTCTTGGTTGTGATGGTTTCTCAGACTTTCCTTGTTTTTTAATGATCCTGACAGTTTTGAGGAGGACTGGTCAGGTATTTGTAGCATGTCCCTCAACTGGGATTTGTCTGATGTTTTTCTCATGATTAGTCCGGGATTATGGGTTTGGGGGAGGAAAACCACGGAGGTAAAGTGCCCTTCTCATTGCGTCATATCAAGGGTGCATGCTATCAACATGATCTCGCCATTGATGTTGACCTTGACCACCTGGCCTGAGGTCGTGTTTGTCAGGGGTCTGTCCTGTAAAATTACTCTTTCTCTCTCTCCTGTTACATACTACACTCTTCGGAAGGAAGTCGCTATGCACAGCCCACACTTAAGGGGTGAGAGGTTATAATCCTCATTAATGGCAGAGTAGCTACATCAATTACTTGCAATTATTCCCTGCAGGAGATTTCTCTTTTCTCCCGCATTTATTTATTTATTCAGTCAGTCATTTATTTTTATCTGTATGGGCTCATAGATATTTATTTTATACAAGTTATAATTCAACACTATTTTATTTATTTTGTTCAAATTGCTCCAGCCTTGGTCAGTGGGAGCGCTTGCAGTTGTTCCTGTGTCCCTTTGCCATACCCCCAGCACCTAGGGGGTTTGGGGATTTGGGGTTTTTTTGGTTTTTTTCTTTAGCATTTTCTTACCCTTGGCACTACAAGATGCTTCAAGAGCATCTTGTATATGTCCTGCCCCAGTCCTAGAATCAGCCATTTCTCCGAGGAACTCTAGTTCATTTTATTGGAGAATGGTATTAGAAACCAAGATCTGGGTGCAAGGTTGCTTCTAGGACTTTCAGCTGATAGAGTGAGGAGATATGTGTATATACTAACCTATGTATATATACCTTTTTAAATATTTCTGTATGCAACCAAACTGTATCTATATTAAGCTAAACATGAGTTCATATTGATGTCTCCAACTCCAATCCATTACCACATGGATCATTCTAGCCTCCTCCCCTTGCTTACCTGTAACTTCTTATTCCAACAGTGAGAAATCATCCACCCTACGTTTACTTAATTTTCAATTCCTGTGCACATGCGCAGTGGTTTCAGCATTGTTACCCCCACCCCCACCGGAGCCACTTCGTCAACTAGAGTACAGTGCTCTGTGCAGTCCCTTTTGTCTTTATTCTTACAGACTCCAGCCACTTCCAGATTTCCACCTTATTCCTCCACCCCCTTCAGTGAAGCTGTTTCATATATTTGTAATACAGCTAGATTCTTTTGTCATAGTCTGCATTCCATCCTGGGATCCCCTGGCCTCCTAAATGATTTTTTAAATTTGCATACATTAAAGTTTACTCTTTGACAAATGCTTAATATCTTGTATTCACCCTTACAGTATCATACAGAATAGTTTCACCACCCTAAAGAAAATCTCCTATGCTTCACCTATTCAATTCTATCCCTTACACCCCAGGCAACCAGTAATTGTTTACCTTCTGTGTAAGTTTGCCTTTTCCAGAATGCCATACAATTGGAATCATACAGTATGGGGCTTTTTCAGACTGGCTTCTTTCACTTAGCAATATGCCTATCTGTGTCTTTTCATGGCTGGATAAATGATTTCCTTTTATTGCCGAATAATAGTCCATTGTATGGATATATCACAGTTTATTTGTCCATTCACCTACTGAAGGCCACCTCCTCTGGGAACACTTCTGTGATGTCACCAGGGAGTCCCTTCCTCTGAGTTCCAATGCACTGTCCCAGTCTCCACATTGTCTTACTGTGCTGTGTACGGGAAGCCGTTGCTTCCCTGCCTGTCTCTCCTTGAGACCAGGAGCTCCTTGAGGACAGAGGCCATGCCAGTTCACTTCGGTATCATCAGTGTCCAGCCTGGGATGGAGGATGGAGTCAGAAAATGTTTGTTGGATGAATGAATGAATAAATGTCCTGGGGATGAGGATAATCTACAGACCTGGGGGCATGAAGGATACACAAGGCTAAAGAGGTTTGGGGGAGAAGTAACCTGGGAGAAAGGATTAGTGTTTGGAGCAGAGTCTAAGATCTAGGGTTGTGAGGAATGAGATTTGAGGGGAGGGGTCTGGGTGGAGAAACGGATAGGAAAGAGGAGAATGAAACAATAAGCCCTTTATGAATATTCATTTAACCCACACAACAGCCCTGTGAGATAGTTATTAGCGTCCCCATCTTGCAGATGGGGAAACCGAGGCACATCGAGATGAGTAACTTGTCCAGGGGGAAATCGCTGGTGGGGGTGGTGTGAGATTCGTACCCTCAGTCCGACTCCGGTCGGTGCTCCTGTCCATGATCCGTTTGGTACAGGGCCCGGCGTGCAGTCAGTAATCAACAAAGGTCAGCTGTTCCTGCTATCGTCATTGTGAGGCACGGGCGTGGGGCCGTGGTGGGTGGGCAGGTTGCGGTCTTCGAGGTCGCCCCTGGACCTAACAGCAGCCTATGAGGATAAGGCAATTGGGAGCAAGAGGCGCGGCGGTAGCGTTGGTGAGGGTCCCGTTGCCATGGGAACAAACTACGGCTTCATGAGGGCGCATGCGCGGATCGGGGACCGGGTGTCGCACCGGTGAAAGGTGACGTAAAAGCGCACGGGGTGGAGCGCAGGGCTCGGAACGTCAAAGCCCTGCGTCCTCCGCCACCCGGAGCGGAGGGAAAGCGCGCTCGGCTGTGTCGGCAACGACAGCAGCCCCAGCTGGACCGAGACCGGGCGGCGCGAAGCTGACGTACGGAGCAGCGCGAGTGAAGCGTGAGGGTGGCGCCGGCGCCCGGGAAGACCTCCTCGGCGCGGACCGGGCGGACCAGACCCAGGTCCGGGCTGCCGAGGCCCCGCCTCTCGGGTCTTGAGACTAATCGGATTGAGAGCGCGCCGGCCCGGCCGCGAACTCGCCAATTGCCGAGGGCGTCGGCCACCGCCCAATCCGGGGCAGACAGGTGCGAGGTCCGGAAGGCGGAGACCAATCAGCAGCGATTGCGGCCTGCTGGGGCCGGTCTCGGCCAATGAGGAGGCCCGAGTGACACCTCCGTGAGCCAATCGGGAGTGAGGGAGCGTTCGTGGCCGCCCGCCCTTCCGGCCTGAGCTGTATTTACCAGGGGCGTGCAGCCGGTTTACCAATCAGAGTGCGGCTGAGCGGCCAGGCAGCCAACCCCGGAGGAGCGGCCGGCCGGCGTCCGCCGCGCCCAGGAGTTGGGGATGTCCTACAAACCCATCGCCCCCGCCCCCAGCAGCACCCCCGGCTCCAGCACCCCTGGGCCCGGCACCCCGGTTCCTACAGGTGAGGACCCAGCTCCACCCCTGCTCGCCTGCCCGGGCGGTCGAGGTCTCGAAGAGAAGACGGCCTGAGTTCTGCAATACTGGGCCTGCCGCCTACCTTCGCTGAGCCTCAGTTTGCTGGCCTGGGAAGTGGGCGTCGTCACGTAAGGGCTTGTTGGTGGAGCGCAGGGGGGAGGGATTTGTCCCTGAAGTTGAGCAGCCTGGAATGAAGCATCTATTTGGAGGGAATCGGGCGAGTCCGGTCGGGGGCTTGGAACGCTGGGAGGAGGTGTCCCTGCCCCGCACTGACCTCGTAAATTACTCGCGCATGTTGCAGCTGGGAGTGTCCCATCGCCGTCGGGCTCGGTGCCGGGAGCCGCTGCCCCTTTCAGACCACTGTTTAACGACTTTGGACCGCCTTCCATGGGCTATGTGCAGGTGAGTGAGGCCGAGGGACTGCCTGTGGATGGGGACTGGAGGCCCCCTCGGGACCTGAGCTCACTGCCCTGTTCCTCTTTTGACACAGGCAATGAAGCCACCTGGCGCCCAGGGCTCCCAGAGCACCTACACAGACCTGCTGTCGGTCATAGAGGAGATGGGCAAAGAGATCCGGCCCACCTATGCTGGCAGCAAGAGCGCCATGGAGCGCCTGAAGAGAGGTAAGTGAGGCCACGCCCACCCCCGCTGCCCAGGAGACTCACACTGGACACTCCTTCATTAGGAAAGGAAGGACATCTGGGGGCCACCAGAGCCAAGCCTAGACCAGGGCCAGTATCAGTCTCCAGAGAGGCATTTTGAATTGAATTGAAATTGAGTCGATTTCCAGGGAAGGACCAGGGAATTTGTATTTCAACAGGGCAAGTTTGAGGATTAGCCAAACCTCTAATCTCATCCAGCTCCTCTTTAGATTATCATCCCTCTTACTGAAAGGAAAGGGGGTGCAGAGAGAAGGGTCTTCCTCTGGAGGGTGGGGGCGGGACTGTGGAGATCAAGACCCTGGATGTTACTTATGCATCCCCACCCCAGGCATCATCCATGCCCGGGCCCTAGTCAGAGAGTGCCTGGCAGAGACAGAGCGGAACGCCCGCACGTAACAGGACGCACCTCCGCCTCGGCGTCTGGACCTTTCTCGGCCACTGCAGAGCACCTCCTTCTCCCTGGCCTTCACCCCGAGATGCACTTCCCATCCTGGGCTTCCTGTCTTGTGTCCCTTGGTGGGTGTCCTCCAGGAACCAGGGGGCAGCTCTCACTCCAGTTGGCAGCACTAACTGGGACCCCCACAAGAGTTAGCAGCGAGGTCACCGTGAGTTTCACCCATGACCTGCCAACAGTGTTGATCCCACTGGAGCCTTCTCCCTTCTGGGGCCCCCATCACTCAGCACTTGCCCAGGACTCCCCACTTTTCCTAGACCCCTTCTCTCCCAGCAGGGCCTCGAAAGGCCTGCCACCTCCCTGCCTTGTCTCCTGGGCCATAGTGATTCTTTTCTCAGTGTGTCTTTTGCTAAATATGCCCTTTTTGTATAAATAAAAGATAATTTGGAGTTGTTTTCTCAGCTCATAATCCTTGAGTCTGGTGCTTCTGCTAAGCCCAGGTGGGCTAGGAAGAAAGAGGGCAAGAGGAGACCCGGAGAGGGGGAAGGGGCAGTGCAGTGGGTGGGAGTGAGGCTGGCTGAGTTAGCCTTGCCCCTGCTGTCCATTGACCTTGGGTGGGACCGTGCCCTTCTCTGGCCCTCAGCCTTCCCAGCTGGAAGTAGTGGAAAGAGTTGAGCTCCAGTAGCTCAGAGCCCTGCCTGCCTGCACGTGGTGTCACCAGGGGGCAGTGCAGGGCCTTGGCTGCCTCCACAGCTGGCGGGCACTGTCACCACCCTGGGCCTAGATCCTCTGGATTGGCCTTGATGCCTGGCAGGGTGGAAAAGCCTTTTCACTTAAGCTATGTCCTCATGTGCCTTAATGCCCCAGCATCCTAAATTTGGAATCAGCCCTGGGAGGCTCTGAATACACGCAGTCTCTGACTCCTTAGAGAGGGGAGGGGGCGCTGGTGCTGCCCTCCCACCAGCACCTGGGAAGCAGAGCCAAAGGGAGAGGACTGGCTTCCAACATGGGTGAGACCCAGCTGGGTGCTGCCATCCTCTGTCCCAGCGCCTTCTAGCCGACTGGGTGTGGTCGCATGAGCCCAGCCCTCAGGTATCTCAGCCTTTGCCCAGGGTCTGGTGGCTGGTTGGTTAGACTTGTGGACCCGGAAGGTATAGGTGGGGCCCCATACAGGGGGTAGCCCACGGATTCGGAGTGCCTGCAGCCTTCTGCCTGGCTCTGTAGCTGAATGACCCCAGAGGCCTGGGGCGCTGGACCCCCACCCCCTAGGTAGAGGCAAGTCAGAGACCAGCTTCTGGCCAGACTTTGGAGGGTGGGGGTGGGGCACTTGCCCTACCCTGGGTCCCAGGTTGGAGGCCTGGGGCTGGGGAGGATGGGGATGGGAGCCTGCCGTATTTCCACAGCACTCAGGAGGGCTGAGCCAGGGTGGAGATAGGAACCTGGAGGGCTTCGGGGATCCCCAAGAGCACAGGGAGAGTAAAAAGCGCCCGCATTTGGAGAACGGCCTCTTCCCCGCTGCCTTGGGGAAGGAAGGCAGGGGCCGCCCTGCTCCGCCGCGGGCGGGGCTGCCTGGACCCCGCAGGGGTGGGGAGGGCCAGTCGGGCCCAGGAAGGGGGCGGGGCGGCCGCAGTGACGCGCGGGCGGCGGGGAGGGACGGCGGGGGCGCCGGCGGACGGACTGGGAGGAAGGTCGGGGCCATGGGCCCGCGCTGCGCCTCCAGAGGGTCCGGCTACTGCTGGAACCCGAGGCCGAGGCTGGGGGCGCTCCGGGCTCCGATCCACGGCCCGTGCGCCTTCGCCCGCACCGGGTGAGGGGCGCCCGCCCTAAACTAGAGGTGAGCCGGGACGTCGGCAGGCGGGCCAAGAGCACGGGGGGACGGGGACGCTGGGGAGCACAGGGAAGTGGGGACAACGCGGCCTCTCGCCTGTCCGCTGGGCGCGAGGTGGGGGGTGGGTGGGAGGGGTGCCCGCAGCGGAACCGGGGCGCAGGTGGGCGGAGCGGGGCTCCCAGGGCAGGGGCCTGTGGAATACCAAGTGGAGCCACTCTTGCCTCAGCCCGAAGGAGTCAGCCCACGGGAAGGATGATGGGGTGGCTGCATAGACGAGTGCCGGGGGTCCACGGAGGATGCTGGGGAGGGAGCAGTTGAGGACTAGACTGCCGGCCGGGAAGAGGAAGGCAGGTCTGGGGGGCGGAGGGATTACTTATCTAGTCCTGGAAGGTCAGTTCGGATGCGGGGGGGTGGGGAACACTGACAGAGATGCTAAGAGGAAGGGCGCATGGGGCTGCTTCGCTCAGAGACACCCCGGAGGGACGAGGTTCTAAGTGGACGTCTAGAGTCGGGGACACGGGACCCCACCGACTCGGGTAAAGGAATGCAGGGGATGGCCCCGAGGGGCCGGGTGTGGAAGGCGGGCCCGGAAGGAGGGGCCCCGGGGCTCCTGGGGGCGGGTCCCCGAGGGATGCCGTTTCCAGGAGGCTTAGGACGCGGCCGTGGCCGGAGCGGCGAGGAGGGCCCG